ACTCTGAGATACTACCTCATACCCATCAGATTGGCTAAGATGACAGAAAAGGAAAACGACAAATGCTGGAGAAGATAGGAAAAATAAGGATACTAATACACTATTGGTGGAGTTGTGAACTGGTCCAACCATTCTGGAGAACAATCTGGAACTACGTCCAAAGACTATGAAACTGTGAATACTCTTTGACTTGGCAATACTGGCACTAAGTCTATACCAGAGATAAAAGAAAGAGGAAAAAGATCCACACGTACAAAAATATTTATAGCAGCTCTTCCTATGGTGGCAAAGAATTGGAAATTGAGGGGATGCCCATAAATTGGGAAATGGCTGAACAAGTTGTGGTATATGATTGTGACGTATGAAATGTTAAAGAGGTTGACTTCAAGAAAAACTTAGGAAGACTTGTATGAATTGAAGTGAAATAAGCAGAACCAGGAGAACAAGGTATACAGTAACAGCAATACTGTAATAATGTTTAACTGTGAAAGACTTAGCAACTTTTTTTTAGGCAGTTGGGGTTAAGTGACTTGCCCAGGGTCACACAGCTAGTAAGTGTCAAGTGTTCGGTCTGAGGCCACATTTGAACTCAGGTCCTTCTGACCTTCAGGGCAGGTGCTCTATCCATCGGGCCACCTAGCTGCCCCAAGACTTAGCACCTTTGATCAATACAATGATCCACAACAATTCCAAAGGATTCATGATGGAAAAATGCTATCTACCTTGAGAGACAGCTGATGAAGTGAGTGCATACTGCAACATTTTTTCCTCTTTATTTTTCTTGCTTCTCTTTATTCACAATATGGCTAATGTAGAAATATATTTTGCATGACTTTCTATGTGTAATGAGTATTGTATTTTTTGCCTTCTTGTAGGTGGGGGAGAAGGTGGAGGGAGGAAAAAATTTGGAACCTAAAAATTAAAAATTAAGTAAAAAAACCCCAACTTCATGGACTCCCTGAAATCTATCAATAGGCTCTGAGGTCTGTAAAAGAGTTTAAAAAAACATAATAGACACACAGACATGTCTTATTATTAGCATTTATTATCTTTCAATTTAAAACCATGCTCATTTTAACCTATGCAAATTCATCTATATCTCAGTTGGGTCAAAAGGGATCCGTACCAATGCAAAATCTGAAAAGGGACCATCACAGAGTTAAACTAAGTATTCACAAATTGAGGATACCCAGAAATCAGCATCTGAGTGTAAACTAGTAAAGCTGCAAAAGAAAACGCAGAGATGAGAAATAAAGTTTATAGATGAGACTGAAGTTTGACAGACATCCTAAAAAAAAAAACCCAAAACAGTCAAATCACAAACCTCCTGTTCTACCACATTCTCTCTCCTTCTGCTAAACTCAAGGCACTCATCACCCAAAATCAGAGGTTCTTGTGAGCTTGTTTTGTTAATATTGTAATAACTATATTTCAACATAATTGACCATTTGCAGTCCTACGTAGTTTATTTCACATATTGAAAAACATTATTCTCAAAACGAGACTGCCAGAGCGCGGAGAGTGGAAGGGATCCTATAATCCAAAAAAGCTGAGAACGCTTACCCTAGATAACAAACTTAACACTTCTTGCTTGGGCTACTTCAATAAGCTCCCATGTCCTGGCTTCGGGAACAAGAGACAACAACAATAGTGTTGTCCAAGAAAAAAAGCATTAATGAGACATAAAATATCAAGAGAGCAAAGGAAGATTCAGAGACACAAACACAAGGGCACCATGTTAAATGTACTGTATGCTTAGGGAAAAACCAAGCTATATATAATTTCCTTTTTCTGTTCTTTAACTATAGAAATTATGTTTGTTGATGGCTGTACAAGTTTATAATAAAACAATTAAATTAGAAAAATCAGACAATTGTGATCTTTACGGCAGATTAAAAAAAAGGAAGAAGTCAGCTGCTCCAATGTTCCCATTTTACAGATGAGGGAACTGAGGGTCAGAAAAGTTAAAATTCTTGGCCAAGATCACACCAGGACCACACACATCACTGATCTGGTTACAAATCTAAATCCAATACTCCTTTTACTGTACCACACTGTCCCTTGGGAATCCAGCACAAATGCAAAGTTCATTTGGCACTGAGGGCTCTTCACCATCAGGCTCCAGCTTGTCTATCCAAGTTTACAGCATCCCTCCTTCATGAACTCTCTGGCCTCTGGCTGTGCCTCACACAGGATACTCCATGTCCAGTCCCCTCTCCCTGCCTTTGCACAAGCTGCTCTCCTCTCTCTTTCCCTATTAGTTTCCTGAGAAGCTCATCCCAAGCTCCACCACCTCAACTGCTGCTGTCTCCCTGACCCAAACCAAAGCAAAACAGACCTCCGAACCCTCATTCACTTTGTATATATTTATATGCGCACATGCTACCTCCTCCAATAGTTACTGGCTCCTCGAAGGTAGGAGTTTCTTAGCAGACCCAGTACCGAGCAAGTAGTAGGCCTCACACAGTAGGTGCTTAATAAATGCTTGTTGGCTGAGTGCCTCATAAATGAAATGACTTGCATTTAGGAGCCCTGGGATCACTTCTGTGCTCTTACACAGACCAGTTGTGTAGCCCTCAATCAAATCACTTAACCTCTCTGGGCCTTAGTTTCCTCATCTGTAAAAAGGGAACAATGAGACTTCCACTATCTACTTAAACCGGTTGCAGCAGGGAAAGGGCTTTTTGAACTTTAAAGCACTATGTAAATTATTATCTTTACCTGGCAACCAAGCTCTTCTATTATTGTCTTTATTGCTATTTAGTTTTATTCAGTTTTTCATGTGTTGACTTGCCTCCCCAACCATACCACAAGCTTGTTACAGACAGGGAATGTAGCTTCTTTGTATCACTCAGTGCTTTGCATAGCAGGTATTCAATAATTATTTCAGATTTGATTCAATAGCTTTATGAAGTTGTCTTTAAACATGACCAGATCTGGCAAGATGAATTAGAGCAGGACATGCCATTATTGAGAATTTGATTAAATTCACAGAAAACTAATTATTACAAGTGGAATACAATATGAACAAATTAATAAATACACACCTCCTCCTTTGCCCAATGGCCTCTTATGTCCACCAGACCACTCACAGGGTCCATTTGAAATGTGACAATAAGAATGACACTCTGCCGCAAGAGGCCTAGAAATAAGTGGCTTGGCACTTAAGAGTGTTCAAAGTGTGCCTCCGATACATACTTTATGGATTAGGAAGTATCTTCTATGAAGTCTATTGGGGAAAATCAGCTGCTAGGGATTACCCTTCCACAATCACATCTATCAAAATCTGTCACCCATCCAAAGTAACGATCTCCCACCACTTTACCTAAGCCTGAAATGCTGTCCCTCCCTCTCTAAAGCTCAATTCCAACATCACCTCTTCCATGAAACTCACCCTGATCAATGTTTATCTTCTTCCCCTCCAACTTTAACCACTATTCTGTTCTGTCTCTCTACAACATGCTTACCTAATCTTTCCAGGAAGCTTAATTACCTTCTTCCCTTCTATCCTTAACCAATATTTTGTTGTTCAAGTCATTTCAGTCGTATCCAACTCTTTGTGACTCCATTTGGGGTTTTCTTGGCAAAGATACTGGAGCAGTTTGTATTTCCTTCTCCAGCTTATTTTATAGATGAGGAAACTGAGGCAAACAGGGTGAAGTGACTGCCCAGGGTCACATAGCTAAGTAAGTATCTGAGGCAGAATTTGAACTCCAGTCCTCCTGACTTCAGGCCCAGCGCTCTATCCATTGGCCACCTACCTGTCCCTCTGCCTCTCAACAATACATTTAACTAACCTTTCCATAAAGCTTAACCACTACCGTTCTGCCTCTCTCTCTAACTCTCTATTAACTTTTTGGCAGCTAGGTGGTGCAGTAGACAGAGTGCTAGGCCTGAAGCCAGAAAGACCTGAGTTCAAATGTGACCTCACACACTGGCTATGTGACTCTGAGCAAGTCACTTAACTCTGTTTCAGTTTCTTCATCTGTAAAATGAGCTGGAGGAGAAAATGGCAAAGCACTTTTCTTGGCCAAGAAAATGCCAAACAGGGTCACAAAGAGTTGGACATGACTGCAAAAGGTCTGAACAACTGAACCTCTAATTTTAACCAGTATTCTGTTCTGCCTCTCAACAATACACTTTTCTATGAAGTTTAATTATCTTCTTCCTTTTTATTCTTAACCAATATTTTGTTCCTGCATCTCAGTTATCTGTCCCTCTACCTGACTACGAACTCCAAGAAAGCAAAAGCGTTATCTTATCTAAACTGTACCCATGAGTACTTTAAAGATATATGCAGGATAAATACTGCTGTTGATCACCCTCTAAGTAGACGTGGGGATAACTTGGGGAAACTCAGAAAACCTGGGAGGCCCTGGACCAGAAGCACCAACCACCCGATGTCGGGAAGCCAGGGGCTCCCCGGGCCTTCTGCTCACCTCTGCTCCTGGGGGTTCCCTTAGCTCCCCAAGTGCTCAGGCTGCGGACCCTCCTACCTCTTTCCTCATCCTGAACGACTTGATGCTACGTCCTAGTTGGGGAACTGGATTTAAGTCATAAGCCTGGGCTCCAATACTGACTCGGACACTTGGCGTCTGTTGGATACCACCCCCACGCCTTGTCACTTTACCGCTCTGTGCCTCAGTTTCCTCCTCTGTAAAATGAAGGAGTCGCACTTCCACCTCTAAACGTATAAACCTTACAATCTGCACTTCTCTGGGGATGTGTTATATTTCCCCAAGGTACAGCGAGGGCAGGGAGGGTTGCCCCGTCTTCGTATTCCCACCCCGACAACCCCCCACCCCACCAAGTGCCCAGCGGGGAGTCTGGTATACAGTAAGTGTCTAATAAATGCTGTTAGAATAACCGTCTCGCCGTCCACGCGGGGCTAACTCCCTGCGGCTTGAGGGGCAAAGGCTGGATCACCGGGGATGGGGGACGACGGGACCCCCGGGGGGGGACTCGGAGGGGGCTGAGGGAGGGGCTCGCTCGGCCTTTACCTTCACAAGCCACACTCCCGTGTTTTGTTTGGCGCCGGTCAAGTCGAGCTCCCCGCGCTCGGCCATGGTGGAGAAGAGGGAGGTCCGGAGGTCGCGGCTCCGGCACCACCCGCGTCGCTCCAAGCCGGGAAGCCCCAAGCTTGGGGGTGGGGAACACGCCGCTCCCAGAGACCAGGAAGCCGCGCCTGCGCACTACATCTGTGCCCTACGGTGCCTCGTGGAGGACACATTTCCTTCGCTTACCTCCGGGAAGTGGGCGTGGTTTCTGAAGCACATGGCCTGGGGTGGGGCGGCGGGATAGGAAAGGATGCAGGCTCTTGCCTAGTTAGGCGTTTGAGAAGCACAAACCGGCCTGTTTAAAGAAGATGCGCGGGATGTAGATCCCTATGGTGCGGGCCAGGGTGGAGAGGTAGCTGTGGAAGACCTTGGAGAGAATGTTCTCCAACTCCCAGATGAGGAAACTGAGAACTCAGGTGACTTCGCCAAGGTCATGCGAAGCTGGGACTTGTATCCTGACTCCCAGTTCAGTAGATTTCCAATCAGACCACCCTTCCTTCTAGGAAATACAGAGCAGCCACAAATTCAGTCCTTTGACAGGCATTTTTTAGGCACCTACTGTGTGGTAAGCATTGGAAATAGACATACAAAAGCAATTTTAAAAATAAAACTAAAACAATAGTTCTTGCCTCAGATTGAAGGTCAGCTAGGAATTTGATTTGAACTAACATTCCTTTTCCTTCTTTTTTTGCATTCATTGTCATGGCATTAAGTTCTCAATTGCAAGTGACTTCAGAATCCAGACTGATGCCATTTCCCACACCCTGTCCTCAAACTTCTCACATTCTGTGACTATTATCTCCAACTTTAGCCACCCACTAATGGGTGATAAGCATCTATTATCACTCAAAACTGCTCCATCTCCAAGAATTAGAGCTCTGAAATTTTCCTCTCTATGAATGAATAAGTGAATGAAGGAATAAAAGAAAATGCATTTATTAAGCACTTACTGTATGCTAAGTTCTGGGGATACAAAAACAGGGAGACATTTCCTGCCCCCAAGGAGCTTATATTCTCATAGAAGGAAGTTATTTATATAGAGCTGAGTGGCCCTGAAAGGATGCTTTGATTTGGAAAGTTACTGGGATTGTGAGTGTTTAGCACATAGCAAGCACTTAATAAATGTTAATTGATGATTGACACTCCTTTTCCAGTAACAATTGATTTAATTATGGTTCCAGCTAAGTTAGGGAGGAGCCATTATGCAGCAGGGCATCTGGCAAGGCCCACTGATCTGGAGAGTACAGCAATAGGCAGGGTAGATGGTGGAAAATAGGCATGCTGGAATGTGAAATATCACTAAGTAGGGCTTGATAAAATGGGCCAGATGATACACTCAGTATGTGTGTGCTACATGTATTCAGAGCAGAGAGAATTATTCTTATTTTGATAAGTTTTGCAACCCATCCTAGGTTCGTACTTCTCATACTCCCTACATTTGTCATGATTCCCAACGTTTTTAGCACACACACACACACACACACACACACACACACCCTTCCCAGAGTACTTTGTATAGATCTTGTACTCACCTATCTGTGTATGTATTGTCTCCTTCAGTAGAATATAAGTCTTTGAGAACAGAGAAGGTTTCCATTTTTTTGTTTCCCCAATATTCAGCACAATAAATGGCACATAAGATCATGGAGAGAACACCAGAAGGGACCTCAGAAGCCATCTAAGCAAGCCCCCTTATTTTACATTTCAGGAAAATGAATCCTAGGAAGATTAAGTAACTTGCCTAAGGTTGTGCAGGTACTAAGCACAAGAGGTGAGATTTGAACCCAGATCCTCAGACACCAAAGCCAGTTCTCTTTGTGTTATATTACATTGCACTTAAGAAAACTTGCTGAATTGAATTAAAATAAACCAAATTAAATAGAAGGGACCTGAAATGAATTGACTGATGTTTTTAGGTCCTCTACCCTTTCCTCTTCTTCCAGTCCTTCATTCCTTCATTCCCTTTCTGACTTAATGTGTGTCTTGGGCCCCATGGTCCAAAGTTGCAATGATACTCATAGAGTCCTTTGCTCCCTTGTCTGTTTGATGCAACCACCTTACCAATTCTGGGAATACCCTACCATACACTTTCTCTGTTACTGTTTCTGCTCTGATGCTTGCTACTGTTAAACTTGGATCAATCCCTTAGCCATCTTGAACTTCACTTCCCTAATCTGTGAAATGAGAATTTTGGACTGGTTAGCCTTTGAAGTCTCTTTTGTGCATTATTTTGTCCAGATTTATAATACTATATTATCCCTGGAGAAAATCACAAATCCAGAACCACTGGCTGCAGTACAAATTGACATTATCTCACCTTAGGTGGGCCCGCTGAATGCTGGGCCCATAGCATTCCAACATATGCTGGATTCAAAGCATCATAGATATGGAGCTGGGAAGGACCGTAAAGGTCATTTAGTACAAACCCATAGAGGAGGAAAAAGGCCCAGAGAGGGGGCCTGATTTGCCCATAGTGACACAGGTAGTAGAGCCTACCTGCTTTGACTCCAAACTCAGTCATCTTTCTGGAGTCAAGCAACAGTATTTTTTTGAAGTGCTTAGTATGTGCTGGCACTTTGCTAAGTGATAGGGATACAAAGAAAAGCAAAAATAGTCCTATATCCTCTACCTACTTCATTCTGTGTTAATGACCTTAATTTCTACATTAAGATGATACTTAAAGCCGGGTACTACAGATTGTTGCTGTGTATATACATATATATATATATATATATATATATATATATATATATATATATATATATATGCAATACTAACAGAATTTTAGAACCAAAGATTTAGGTTAATAAGTCAAATATCAATGAACAATCTCAACGTAAGTGTTTCTTTATTCTTTTGTCTTTCTCTCATTCATTTTTAAGGAAGATGAAAATGAAAAATTGAGAAGAGGGATAGGAGATAGATATGTATATATGTAAAATCATTCTACATATGCTTCTGTTTATTTATTCTTTCTCTGGATGCAGATAACGTCTTTCTTCATATGTCCTTTGTAGTTAATGTGGGTATTTATAATAGTCAAAAGGACTGATTCGCTCAAAGTTATTCTTAAAACATTATTGCTGTCACTGTATACAACATTCTCTTGGTTCTGTCCATTTTGCTCTTCATGATTTTGTCCAAGTCTACCCATGTTTTTCTAAGATCATCGAGCTCATCACTTCTTATGCACAACAGTATTCTATCACAATCGCATACCACAACTTGTTCAGCCATTCGCCAATTGATGGGGATCCCCACAATTTCCATTTCTTTGCCACCATAAAGAGAGTTGCTATATTTTAGAACTTACAAGTTCTATTCCTTTTTCCCCTATCATCCTGGGAAACAGACCCAATAATAGTATTGCTGGGTCAAGGGGTATACACAGTTTTATAACTCTTTGGGCATAAATACAGATTGCTCTCCAAAATGGTTAAATTAGTTCACAGTTCCACCAACAGTGTATTAGTATCCCAATTTTTCCATATCCCCTCCAACATTTGTCATTTTCCCTTTCGATCATTTTAGCTAGTCTGATAGGTGTGAAATATCTTAAAGTTGTTTTAATTTGCATTTCTCTAATCAATAATGATTTAGAGCCTTTTTTCATATGGCTATATGTAGCTTTCTTTGTTGAAAAACTGACTGTTCATTTCCTTTGACTGCTTATCAGTTGGAATGACTCATATTCTTATAAATTTGATAAAGTTCTCTATATTTTTTGAGATACGTGACCTTTATCTGAGAAACTGTTTATAGATAATTTCCCCTAAATTTTCTGCTTTCTTTCCAATCTTGACTACATTGGTTTTATTTGTGCAAAACTTTTTTGATTAAATGTAATAAAAATTATCTATTTTACCTCTCACAATGCTCTCTATCTCTTGTTTACTCACAAATTCTCCTATCCATAAGTCTGATAGGTAATATGTTCCATGTTCTAATTTTTTAAAATAATATTTCTCTTTATATCTAGGTCATGTATCCATTTTGACCTTATCTTGGTAAATAGTATAAGATATTGGGTACATTTCCTTCGCTTAGCTTTTTAGTTTTCCCACCAATTTTTTTTTAACCAAATACTGGTTTTTTTTTTAATAACATGTAGCTTTGCAAATAAATATTTGGAAAATTCAACTAATATGGATTTGGCTTGTGGAAAACCTTCAATTTAAGAATAAACTTGAACTTGATTCTGTTGGTAGTGAGGAAGAAGTCATTGTGGTATAATGGAAAAAATGTTGGCTTTTGAGTCAAAGAACCTGAGTTCAAATTCTACCTCCTATCACTTACCACCTCAGGAAAGTCACTTAACCCCTCTGGGTCTCAATTTCCCCATCTGTACAATGAGAAGGATGGACTAGATGACCTTGAAGGAGCCCTTCCATCTATGACCCTATGAATCAAAAGTGACATAATCAAGAGCAAGCATTTATTAAACCTTTACTAGACCCCAGGCGCTGTGCTAAAGTGGGGATAAAATACAAACAAAAAGAAAGATAGCCCCTGTCCTCAAGGAGTTTATTGTGGTTGTTGCTGCTTTATGATGGGGAAAGAAAACATGTAAAAGGGAGATGAAAAGGGGAGGAGAAGGAAGGTATGAGAGGGCGTGGTGGCGAAAATGAAGGCTGGCTGGTCATGAGGAAAGCCCCTTTATAAACTGCAGTATATTCTAAAACAGGAGTTATATTTTAATGTTTTCTTGCCTTTCTTCTCATTTATTTTCAAGGGAAATTAAAAGAAAAAGATGAGGAAAAGAGAGTGAGATGGGGCTTATATTCAGGCAGTCATTAACATTTTGTTGAAAGGGCAACCCCTAAAACTAAGTCTCCACTTTCCATCTGTGGTTCTGCTTTGCTTGAGCTCCAGTAAACTTCCTTTTGTGTGTTGTCTTCCCCAGTTAGATTGTAAGCTCCTTGAGGGCAGGGACTGTCTTTTTCTTTTTTCTCATTTGTATCCCCAAGGCTTAGCATGGTTTCTGGCACATAGTAGATGCTTAATAGATGTTTATTGAATTGAATTGATTCATATAGTGCTTTGAAGTGTATAAAGTGCTTTCCCCTATCCAGAAATAGTTAGGTTGGACTATATCAAGCTGTGCTGGGCAACCTGAGACAGCGTGGTA